ATTCTTACAGCACTATATTTCTTACTTTCTGTCCCCCACATTTTATGTATAGAATATCTTCTTTTATAGTGTTTTATTAAGTGATTCCCTTAATTAATCTTTAGATGCACTGCTTTTACTACTACTGTCTTTTTACCTTCATACTAGTTTTTAAGTAAGTGACCTACTACCTCTGCTATATGTTTGCTGTACCAGTGGAAATTTTTTCTTTCTTAAGTTTCTTGCTTCTATTTAGTGTCTTGTCTTTTCCTCTTAAAGTCTATTTAACATTTTGTGTAAGACTATGTTAGTAGCAGTGAACTCTTTAAACTTATGTTTAAACTTATGTTACCTTTATCTCTCCTTCAATTCTGAATGATAACCTTGCTGGGTAGAGTATTTTTCGTTGGAGGTTTTTTCATTCAGCACTTTGAATATATCATGCCATTCCCTTCTGGCCTGTAGAGTTTCCATAGAAAAATCAGCTGATAACATTATGGGATTTATGTAATTTGTTGCTTTTCTCTGACTGCTTTTAAAATTCTTCATCTTTGATCTTTTACATTTTAAATGTGAATCTCTCTTGCTGTTTAACTCTTTGGGTTCATCTTGTTTGGAGCTCTTTGTGCTTCCTAGACCTGTTAGATTGTTTCTTTCCCCAGGTTAGGAAAGTGTTCAGCTATTATCTCTTCAAATAATTTTTCTACTTCTTTTTCTCTCTCTTTCCCTTCTAGGACTCTAATGTAGATGTTAGGATGTTTGATGTTGTCCCAAAGCTTTCTTACCCCATTCTCATTCCTTTTAATTCTTTCTTCCTTCTGCTGTTCAGCTGAGTGCTGTCCATCACTCCATCTTCCAAGTCACTGATTCGTTCTTCTGCATCCTCTAGTCTAATGTTCATTTTCTCCAGTGTGTTTTTTATTTCACCTATTTAATTCTTCATCTCTGGTTCTTTTTTAGGCTTTTTATCTCTTTCACCTCAAGTTGTGCTATTGTTTTCTCAAGTCCAGTGACTATTTTTATAACCATTGCCTAAAACTCTTTAGCAGGTAGATTGGTTAATTCTGTTTCATTTAGTGATTTTTTTTCCCCCCAGGGGTTATTTCTTGTCCTACCATTTGGAGTATATTCCTTTGTCTCCTCGTTTGGTATGACTTTCTCTGCTTTGTTCTATGAATTAGTTGAAAGGGCTTGATGTTCCAATATTGAAAGAATGGCTTTGTGTAGGAGAGTTCCCTGTAGTAGACTGTGTGTGCCTCATGGTTTTGGTAAGTTGACAGCAGAAGAAATGTGAGACAGGCTTTTCCTGGTGCTAGGGCTCCCAGGACATGGTCCTGGGGTTGTGGCATAGGGGGCCTGTTGGAGGGGATCCTGGGAAGAAACCTGTGGGTTTTGTGCTGGTTGTGGATAGAGTGGTGGGCCAGTGGCAGGTTGGAGGTCACTCCAGGTAAGTCCCTGGATTGGTGCCAGCTGAGTCCCCTGTGCCTTCTCAGCCATAGGCCTATGCATACTGTTGTCTTCTCAGGACTGCTCTGGGGAATTCCTGCTTTGGGTGCCTGTCACGTCCCTCTTGCTGTGTGAAGTCAGACTCTGTGCATGTTCCACCTCAGGCCCTATCCAATCTGTGCTATCCTGGGAATTGTTACATCAGTGGCTGCAGGCCTGCTGGCATCTGGGATCAGGCACCATGTGTATGCAAACCTTAACCCATGGCCCCTGTGAACTCTCAGCTGCTGTGGAGAATTTCTATGGAGGCCGGGATTAGACATTGTCCACATTTGTTCCCTCATGGCCCCTGAGTGTTCTGGGCTGCTCCAGAAAATTTGCATATTGGCACCCACAGGTTCCCCTGGGGGTTAGAATTAGACACTGTGTGGGCATGGTCTCCTTGTGACCCCTGTGTGCTCTGGGCTGCTCCAGAAAATTTGCATATTGGCACCCATTGATTCCTCTGGGGGTTGGAATTAGACATGGTCTCCCTGCAGTCTCTGGGTTCTCTGGGCTATGCCAGGGACTTCCTGCAACTGTGCCTGCTAGTTCCAGCTGGTGGCAAATGGTCAGCCCTGCTTGTGTGTTCTGCCACAGTGCTCTAGGGAGTTGTCCTACTGGCGCCAACCCTCAGCTTCATGCACCCTCCCTGTAAATGTGTGGAAGAGCACAAACAGTGGTGCTGACTAGCTCCTCCTGTCACAGATTGCTTTCCAATGGCTTCCTTGCCAATCAGTGGGATGTTTAGTTCTGGAACTTAGATCTTTCACTTATGATCTAGTTGGACTTTAACCTGCAAGGCCTTTTCCTGTGCATCAGGGCAGGGGTCCATGCCTGGCTGTCCCAGCCACACCCCTGCCCCTTGCCTGTTCTGGTTGCTGTGCTGGTGGTGGAGTTCCTGTTTCTCTGTTCTGTCTCTTCTGCCATTTATGGGTTTTTATTGGGTATGATCTTTCTGTCCCTTCTTGTATAGAAGATGTTCCCTTTAGTACTTGCTCTTCCTCAGGGTGAAATGCTCTATGCATAGGTGCAGATTCTGTGTGTAGGTGGAAAAAGGTAGGTTCAGCCTCTCTCTAGTCTACCATCCCCCCTGCTTGACTTTTCCTTACAGGTATTTGAGGGGTCTGCTAATGAATACTTTGCACATTGAATAAGAAGTCTTGGTGTAGGTAGTCCTGAAAATCTTGTGTAAGATTTGTAAAGCTTGCATTGTATAATCATGTTTTAGGGAGTGTTAACCAAACTTGTCATTTTTCTGTGAAGCCTGTTTACTAATCCACTTCCATCTCTTTTTCATTCACCCCCACCCCCATACACACACCTGAAATTTATATCTCACAGTAGGGTCATCTGAGTTCCCTTGTGCAATATACCTTACAGTGCCTATATAAAAGTCAACTCTTAAATTTTAACATAATTTACTATTTGTCCTCCCTATTACTAACATAAAATTCACAGTGCAGTGTGTATTTCTATATAGCAACATATGAATGTGTGGAAATTTTGCTACAATCATTGTTGGTTCAGTGTAATGGCAGAAATGCCACACTTTAAAGATAGACAGGAAAAGTCTGACATAGGCAGTACCTGGAGAAATGGTAAACCCAGAGAGGGGCTAAGAGAGAGAGAGAGAAGGAGAGTCTTCTCTGGGAGTTGTATTAGCTCCATGCTTTTCTATTTAATACCCAGTGGCATACAGCCAATACAATAAGATTGACCATAGGAATCAAAAGTTCTTAGCAATGATGCTAAAATATGTTCTTCTGAAAAAAAATTCTTTCTGATTTTAAAGACTCCTACATTTTAGTTTTCACAAAAAATTTCATATAAGAGGTATAATTTATTCTGGGATTCTATAAAAGATACAGGTTCACATTTTTGAGATTGTATTAATTTAAAACTTCAGAAAGATCAGAAGCTTAAAGCATACAGAGAGAGAGAGCTAGAGTGCAGGCAAGAGTGAGCCCATATTGTAACTTCATCCATTACATGGATCTGGGAAGAGCCATCTTTGAATGTAGGTGGAGAGCTCTGCCTTGATAGGCTCTCCATTTTAGAGCTGATTTTAGGGCTGTCTATTACCCCTGAGAGCCTTGGCTGACCTGGCTACTATACGGGTATCAGTTACCAGGTGGAGTGCCTGTTGGTCCTAGGTCTGCGTCTGCAAGCATAGATTTATACTTCTGCAACCTGGGAGTGGTTAGGATATTGAGCGTCCACTCACTTGAAGAGTGCTTTAGTACCATCATTTATCTGAACAAGTTTGTGTGCAGCTGTGAATTTAAACTTCCAGAATGACCTCATGGGAAATGCATGAACTTTGGAATGAGAATTGTGTTTAAATTCTGGCTTTTCCACTTCCAAGATGTGCGATTTTTGCTTATTTCTGTGAACCTCAGTTTCTTCATTTGTAAAATGAAGAACAGACTCTTCTCTGAGAGTTGTATTAGCTCCATGCTTTTCTATTTAATACCCAGTGCCATATCCAGCTGATACAATAAGATTGTCCATTATTAATTTATTTTTTAATTCCCTAACTTGGTGTGAACTTTTTCTTTCATCCCATCTTACACAAAACCCAACTGGAAGTTTTAAGAAGGTGATGTTTCAATTTATGTTATGTGTGTTACAATTATGCTGATTTGAAATTTTTATCAACCTAAGCAACAAGGAAGTGACATTCAAAATGAATTAGATTGGCCAGGGGTAACATAATCTATTGACTGAGTGTGGAGTTTAGATGTACTCTAACTGAGCCAAAGCCCTCTCAGTTTCTTTTAAAATGTCCTTAGGTTAGATTATGCAGAGTAAAAGATATATGTTTATTTTTTTTTAATTGGCTGAAAATGTTATTGAAACAATGAGAAATTCAAATTCAGAGAGAGAGAAATTCAGAGAGAGAGAGCTAGAGTGCAGGCAAGAGTGAGCCCATATTGTAACTTCATCCATTACATGGATCTGGGAAGAGCCATCTTTGAATGTAGGTGGAGAGCTCTGCCTTGATAGGCTCTCCATTTTAGAGCTGATTTTAGGGCTGTCTATTACCCCTGAGAGCCTTGGCTGACCTGGCTACTATACGGGTATCAGTTACCAGGTGGAGTGCCTGGTGGAGTCCTAGAATGAAAATATCTGTCTCTGGTTTCCTTAACTCTGCGTCTTTGTTTTGTAGCCCATGGTTATAGTCCCTTTAAGTAGCCCCCTTCCTTGTGAAGTGTAGTTATAATGTGAAGTGTAGTTCGCTTCTGCCTTCCCTTAAAGTCTCTGGTTTAATTATGGAGCATATGAAAGAAAACCTTTGACTCATTTTGGAGTTACATATAACAGACTGTAATATCAAGATTTTAGATAAATAGCATAGAGTGAAGATATTACGATAGAATACTCTTGTCTAAATTTGTCAGTAGTTAGGTATTATTACCCTCAGGAATACTTTGACAAGATTTTCAGAAGTAGTTCAGATTTTGGTCATGAAAACATTCATTTAGGAAAACAGTTCTGTAATTGTTTTTCTTTTTTCTTTTTTTCAATTTCAGGGTCAGCCTGGTCATCAGGTAAGTGAACTCTTTACTAACAAATTAATTTCAATTTAGGATTTCCCCGGAGTGGAGGTTTTTCTGCAGTTCTTTTCAAAGGATATTAAAAAGCTAGGAAGCAGTAATCATGACACCACACAGTAGACCCAAATATTTCCCAGGAGTAAAGCTTTGGGGCCTCTCCAGGGTTGAGTGAGCCACATCAGCTGTTGGACCAGATGGCAAGTTTAACAATGTACCATCATATAAAGCAAAACTCTTAACTGATCTGAAACAGTGTCACAGGACTTTCATGTAAGATAAAATGACTTAGTAGATGTCAGGTATGAATGGGTTTGCATTAGGTACTGATTAATCATGTACTAATAGTGCTGTAAAGCCACGCAGACTCTGATTATTTAGACTGTGATCCTACCAGCTACTTTTGATTCATTATATATAGATATTGAATTTGTTCTACACTTTCAATAAAAGCCAACTGCTGAAGACATGACTTATAATTAAATATGAAAGAAATCAATGGGAAATCTTTTCAGCTCTAAATCATTTTTAATAAAATGAGGATGTTTTAGGAAGGGGAAGAGTACGTCTAAAGTTGAAAGAACAAAAGAAAAGAGTTGTCAAAATGAAGAGTTAATAAAAAATGGCAAACTCAATATTAATACTTACTCTAGTCTTGGGAAGCTAGAGAGAAGGAAATGCCATTATTAATGTTTTACTTTTAACACCGCAATATCTATTGACATAATTGTTTACTGTGTCCCTTTACATCTTTTTCTTAAATGCTACTTCTGTCCTAGGTTGTTTCATAAATAAATGATTTTCATGATATCCTTTTGTAGTTGATGTCATTGTCTATTGTTTGTTAATTCTCAAACCAGACCATGAGTATATTATTCGGTTTTTATGAGCTCTGTGTATAAGAATGTCTAACAAAGAAAACCAAAGACTCCACATACTTAAGAAGAGCAATCTTTTTCAGACTACACATGAGAAACATTTGATGTGTAATTAATTCATGTTCATATCAGAATACTCTCATTATTTGTGATTTTCACTCTTATATTCTAAGCTGGCTGAAGGTAATTATTGGAGGGGAAAAAAACCCGTGAAAGAAAGTTGTAGCTTATCTCCTAAATTTGAAACTTCTACATTAAAACGAAGACAAAATAAAAACTGCCTTGCATGCTTTATCTTACTTAATGCTTACAATAGCCCTGCAGAGTACATGCAGGATCAGAAGAGATAAATTGCTCTCATGAGGTAACACCATAAAAGTGGGAGCAGAAGTCAAGTCTGTCTCTCAAACCCTCATGCTCTGTAGCACTCAGCTCTCCAGAGAAGAGTAACAGGTGAGATAATAGATGGTGAAAGGAGTTGGAATGTTCGTTTTGAGAGATGATTATAATCCTTAACATATTTTAAGTTTTAATAGGACCTCTGTCTTAGACTGCTCGTCCTACCCCAAAGCAGTCCTGAAGATAAGGATTTGGGTACAAATAGTTTATGTGGGAGATGATACCAGAAATTTATGCACTAATTTCCTTTCCCTCATTGTTGAGAGTCAGGCCTGGATGTGACCTCGCTGGCGCTTCTGGCCCCAGGCTGCAGCTGCTGGAGGAATGGGGGCAACCGCCGGGACTGGGGTCCTGTATGGCAGCACTGTCTTAGAGGGAGGCAGTGGCATGGCTTGGCACCTACATCTGCCACAACATCCAAGTGCAAGTGTCCTGTAAACAAAACAGAGTGAGAAATTCAGATCTGGATATAAAGACTTGGAAATCTGAATAGTAAGACAGCATTAAAAGCATATTAGTTAATGGGATTTAAAGGTTATAACTGCAAAAAGAAGAACATGGTCATAATAAATCTTGAGTCTTACAAACACAGTTCATGAGCAGAAGACGATTAACCAGCCCAGGAAGCCAAGAATAGACAGAACCAGGAATATCATGGATCACTCTTGCGAGGATTTGAAAGGGTACTTTATCAAGTCTTATATTTACTATGGCTCTTCAGAAAAATAAGGTCTATCTAATTGTCCATGCCTGAAAATTTTGGCAACTTTAAAGGATAATAGGACTGGCATTTTCAAATGGTGAGGTGCTATGGTTTTTTTTTCATTTGTCTACTAGTTTACCTTTAGTAGACCCTCAGATCACACGATCTTTTCAAAGTTCAAAATGCCTACTTCAGGTCACAGAAAAGTGAGAGCAGTGGAAGAGTAGGTCTGATGGGAACTGTGAACCAAGAAATACCCTCATGTTGTCTTTTCTGTGGCACAAAAATAGGCAAAGAATTTTGTTGCTATGTTCCTAAGGAAAAGTCTGACCTACCTCTTATCATTACATCGCTATCATTTATATTTTTCAAAAGAAACCTCCACTGTTAGATTTTAAATTAAATAATTCTTAATGAAGTTGTTCATTTAGTACCTGCTGATTATTAAGTTCGCTCTGAGATTTTTATAATTACAGATAAATTTTCATATACTGGCTTCTTTCCATCTATATTCTTCAGTTTCCTTACTACCTGCTGCAGTCTGTTACTTTTCCAGCCCCTAATCTGCTCTTGGGAAGTTTCTTTTGAAAAAATTGGATCTTAAATAGGCTATTAACTCCAACAACAAATTTTATCTATCTAAAAATTTAATACTCAGGAATGACCTATGTAGTAGCTATAATTATCAATATGTGCTGCAAAATTATAGTATTTTCTGCAATTATATCTTACATTAATACCATAAATCCATTTTTTCCTTGAGTAAATTTATATAAACTCTACATTAAATCTGTTTATGACAGATCTAGAATTTACACGCAGTGAATAAGCAAGTAATGTACATTTAAGGTTTAAATCAGGAAATTTTTATGGGTTCTTAAATAGTTGAAAAGTTTCTTTTATTTGATCAAATTTCTTATACAATTTTCATGTTCCATTATTCAGCTCACTAAAAATCATTTTATTCACAAACAGTGTATTTATAATAACAGGAACTTACAATTTGGGGCACATCCTCCTATTTTTCCTTCATTTTTTTGGTGACTTAAAATGATACCTACTTTTTTCTTAAAATGTTGACTTCCTCAATTTTCCTGTTTTTGTAAGATTTCTGAGCTAAAACTCTTCATAACATTTTTTTGTTATTTATATATATGATTCAATATAACTGATTTACTTACATTTCTTCCCTGCTAATCCTTTCCTCCCTCATCCCTGTATCTACAGAGTACACACTGTTAACTGTGGGGACAAAAAAGGGTGTGAACATTGCAAAACTTTGTCCTTACCATCTCTCCCCATCTCCTTTTGCAATTAGTCAAGGGAGAGAAAGGAAGAAGTTGCTACCTAGACAAGCTTTCTCCAAACAAGTTCCCTTAACTAGTGCTCAGACCCAGATTTCCTACCTGTGCTCTGAGCCATAACCGTGTCACCCAGGGACGAATCTTAGCTAGACTATCTACTCTGTTGAAAATCCATACTCCCTATGACTGGGCAGTATGAGAGAGAGACTTCTAAAATCCCAAAACCCAACTTGCAATGGATTTTCCATTAAGACAGCATTACCAATAGTGTTTCTGTTGTACAATATGAATTTTTTTTAGGTACATTAGGAATAGGCATTTGTGAATTGGGCTGGAAAAATAAACTATATTTATATTATGATTCCTGTGGGAAGATATAATCAGATTTCCAAGCAACTGACTTCCAAAAAAGAGTTGTAAATGTTTGAGTTGGGATATTGCACATTTTTTAAGGTTTATTAAAAGATTTGGGCAGAATTGTAATTGGCAACTTGTTTTTCATGTGCAAATGTTTATGCCAGTGAGGGTTTTCTTGCATATGTTGAACACTCCCACATCATCTTATTCACAGTTTTAACGCAGAGAAAACTCTTCCTTAGTGACTTGAGAAACTCAGGTCTGCTTCTTCAATACCACACATTCTGTAGTAAGGACTTCCAAATTAATAAGGTTTTATTTTGCAGACCCAGTGGTAGAAGGAGCAAATGTCTATTATTCAGGGAGTTTTTCTGATAATCCTCCTAAAGTTGAAGACAGCTTAGATGGATTTAGCTTAGACATAAAAAAATTTTCCAAGACTGGTAGTGAACTCTGTTGCAGTAATAGTGTGAAATTGAATACAAAATAGGCCTAAGGGAAGAGAGATGAGTCTTTGCATTTACCTAAATGGGTGAGAAAATGGTTCTTGACAAGGGAAGTGAGATGGTGAAAGGGTACTAGAAAGAAAAAAGACAATTCTTGCAGCTGTGGTTAAGATGGGAAAGACGCAGGGAAATGAATAGAAAGGAAGTGGCTGTGGACCCACTGAATCAAAGGAAATAAACTTCTTGGAGAGGAAAAGGGATGGGATAGAGTAAATGATGTCACAGAGGCTTAAAAAGAAAAAAATAACAAGTGGCAACACAGAGTAAGTGAAGGAAGAAGGAAGAAAGGACACTTGAAAAAAGGAGAACATTTGACTTCAAACTAGAGGTAATGAGAAGTAGCTGGGGTGGTGGGGCATGTGGGAAGAATTAATCTATTGAAATGAAAGTCACCCTGATAATTGTTCATTAATTCATAAAAACATAATTTAATAATTCAAAGCTTTATTTAGCCCCTACTATGTTCAAGGTGCAGTGAAAGGCAGTGAAATTGTAGTAAATAAGACCGACTCCATCTCTGCTCTTTTGATAGTTCTTTTAATGTTAATAGTCAAGTAACCTATCAAAGTTTGCTCAGTTCTTGTAGACCCATCATTTCGAGGATGACTTGAACTCCATCTAAAAGTCACGCCCCTGCACCTGGCACACCTCAGTGAACCCCAGGTTCAGTCAGGGCCTTAAATATGAGGCATTTAAGGCAGGCTTTTTCTAGTGTGCAGGTGACCCAGGGTCAATGCCAGTGCTCAAAGTGTGGTTCCGATGCCACACTCTAGTTCTAATAATTAGGTTTCTGTCCAGATCTAGGCACCCTTGTTCTGGTAACTAGTCCTTTCCTGGCCCCCCATGCCTA